AGAGAGAGAGGTAAATGTGACAACATGCAGATCCGAGTAAAAGGTATATGTGAGTTCTTTGTATTATTCTTGTAAATTTTCTTTAACTTTGAAATTAATTAAAAAACGATAGAAAGATATAAGCCAAAATCTTACTAGTGTTGTGGGATTGCCACTGAGCAGTTTTTCTTTTTGCCTATCTACACTTTTCTTTGTTTCTTCCTTTCCTTCCTCCCTCTCTCTCTCTCTTTCCTCCCTCCCTCTGTCCCTCTCTTCCTTCCTCCCTCCCTCCCTCCTTTCCTTCCTTTCTTTTGAAAAAGTAGTATGGTAGAAGTAATTCACCCTTTTTTTTTTTTTTATAGTCATCTCTACACCTAACATGGGGCTCAAACTCACAACCCTGAGATCAAGACGCACGTGTTCTACCAACTGAGCCAGCCAGGCGCCCCTAAGGTAAAACTAATTCAAATGCTATAGACAAGCCTCTAGTGTAAGTCTGCCTCCGGGCCGAGCAGACCTTCAGCTCCTCAGCCCCCCTCTCAGAAGTAACCACCACCATTATGTGTTTTTTGCCTCTCCTTGCAGATGTATTCTGTCCGTATGCAGATGTATTCTGTCCGTATACAAATGTGGATATCTAGGTAGCCTCTTCCCACTTTCCCACCACAAATGATGGCATCCTTGCTGTGCACACCATTCTGCACCTTGCTTTTCCTCAGTTAACACTATATCTCTTCATGATCCTTCCATATGGGGACATATGGGGCTACCTCATGTTTTTAAGGGCTGCCTAGAATTCCATTGCATTGATGTGTCATAATTCTTTGAACCAGTCCCTATTGTCATACACAGTCCTTTTCCAATCTTTTATAAGCAAAATTACAATGAATTGCACCCACTTCTTCATGCACAATGTGTAAATAAATATATAGGATAATTTCCCACAAGTGGAGGTGCTCCGTGGAAGTCCACATGCCTTCCCCATTGTGGATGCGACTGTGGTTGGCCCGCAGGCTGCGCATGCCTAGCTCCTCGCTGCCTCTGCACACACATACTTCACATTTTCGGATCTCTGCCAATCAGATAGACTTTTTTTTAAATGATATCTGGTTGTAGTTTTAATTTGCACTTCTATTATTATAAGCATAAATGAGTATCTTATCACTTGCTCTAAAAGCCATTTGTATTATTCTGTCATCTCTCTCTGCATGTAGATGAGTGGTCTAAATCCTCTACCACAGACCTAGCCTTCCTACAGAGAAACCCATGGCATTAATCCCAGGCTGAGCCCTCTTTGGACCCCTCTGGGGACTGAAAAGAATAGGATCTGCATCTCCTGGTGCATCTGGACCAGAGCCATCCCAGTGACTCCAGTCTCCTTTTGGGTTTACTAGCTGTAAACCAAGGGCGATAATTTACCATGGGAGCTGGGAACGTGACTCAGCTCAGGCCCAGGCCAGCACCTCTGCCCCCTCTCTGAGCCGCCAGCAGCCGGTGCCCGGCCCAGGGCAAGCCTGTCCTGGGACTTTGCAGCGTGCCTCCTGCCCCTCTTTGAACAACAGAACTTCTTAGTTCCTCTGGGTTGCTGTTTTCTCCCCAAGTCTTTAAAAAGCTGTGGTGGGAACAGAACGCTTCATTCAGAGGAGGCCCTGAAAGGCCCTTTTGTGCTGCATCCGGTCTAGGAACAAGCTCAGTGTTCTCTGAAGGAGAAAAGACTTGGACAAAAGCTGGCATCCTGAGAACCCTGGAGGTCAGGCCCTCGTTAATTAGCCACTGGCGTCCCTGCCTCATTAGTATGCAAGCACAGGCAGAGAGGAGCTGCTGCTTCTCCAAGCTGCCCCTGGAACCACCTCCGCGCAGAGGTTGCTGTTAGAGATGGGATTTTTTTTTTCTCCATCCAGCACTTGCAGGGAGATTTCTACAGATAGGGGCTTTTTCTACCATGGGACCTGGCTGATGTGGGTCATCACCGGGCTGTCGGTCATTATCTTGATCATGCCCTTCTTGTAGACAGAGCCCAGGGTTTGGAAACAAATAGACTAGGATTCAGATCCCCACTCTGCCCCTTCCTGGCTGGGTGACCTTAGCAGATGACCTCTCGGGGCCAGTGTTCTCCTCGCAAATATGGATTTACAATAGTACCCACTGCACGGGTAATGTAGTGGTGTCTTGGGACACAGAAAATGTGCAGAAAGGGGATTTGAAGATCACAGAAGAACAGAATTAGAAGGGATTCATTTGCCAGGCTTTTCCTTTAAGAAGATCAACCTAGGGAAATAACCACTGAGTTCTAAAAAAAACGCAATCAAAAAATCCTAACATACCCTTTCGGGTTGACATTCAGAAACTTATTACGCTATTACCTTCAGGGTAAACAGTTAAAAAGTAAAATCAATCAGTCAATCAATCCTTGCGCTCACTCTGAGGGCCCCTGTGAGTAGGCTCCTATCCGCTTCCTTGCCTCGCATCCACCACTCAGCCTGGGGCTGTGTTAGGGGATGAGGACAGGTCATCCTGAGATGGGCTACTTTGGCATGAAGAATATTTGAGCTGAAGGCGATCAAGACCCTGCGGGCTCAAGAGAAACTCTGCCCCTCCTCCAATTACCTAGAAGAATCTGAATTGGGGGTCTTTTATAGCATAAGGGTTATTACCAGAGCTAAATTTTACCTGAGTGACATCTGTATGGCAGGGTAACGATCTAATTACTGAACATCTGCTTTTCTTCTTATGGCCCCATAAAGTCCCAGGCCCCTTCCCACTTCTCCCTCAGTTCAGGATGACACACATGCTTCATTTTGCCGGACTGTCTTTGGAATTTCCACGTGTGTGTGGATTTCCCCAGCCCTACGCTATTAAATGTGATTTTTTATTAACCTAAGTCAATTTAATTCTTAGTCTAGCTAGAAGGACATTTGGGGGGACAGGAATTCTTGCTCCCACCCTGCCCCCTCTGACAGCTCCGAGGCCCCTGCCAGTGGGCATCTTTCAGGTGTGTGAACACTTAGAGCTCCCTTATATACCTCCTCCAGCCCCTGATCATGGAAGCTCCTTCTACCTAGACTATCTCCCCCCACTCTCCTTTTTGCTCTGGCTAATTCCTGCTCAACTACAGGTTTCAGCTGAAGCATTCACTTATCTAGGATGGGAGGGGGGCGCTGAGGGGGCCTGAACCCCCAGATAGGTTATTTGCTCCTATGACCCTCTCTCCAAAGGTTCTGTCTTGTTACGTGTGCTGCACGTGTGATTCTGACTCCCTGGGCTGCAGGAGCCACCAGGCTGCATGCCTAGAGCCGGCGCTGTGACTTACTGTGACTGGCACCTGGAAGGGCTCACGGCGTGTTTGCGAAGGAAGAAAAGGGGAACGGAAAGGACAGGTTGGTGGGGAGACGTGAATGTACGGAGGGGCTTTCTGGAATCCCGCAGCAGAGGGCAGCCTCTTGTTCATTTCCCATCTGGGTAAAGCCCCCTGGAGATGGGGAGAGGTTGGGACAGATACAGTGGTGGCACTTGAAGAAACAAGCCCTTTGAAATCCCCTTCTGGGGCGCCTGGGTGGCTCAGTCGGTTAAGCGACTGCCTTCGGCTCAGGTCACGATCCCAGGGTCCTGGGATCGAGCCCCACATCGGGCTCCCTGTACCGCGGGGAGCCTGCTTCTCCCTCTCCCACTCCCCCTGCTTGTGTTCCCTCTCTCGCTGTCTCTCTCTCTGTCAAATAAATAAATAAAATCTTAAAAAAAAAAAAAAGAAAGAAATCCCCTTCTGAACTTTGCTGGGTACTTACTCTTAGAAGCTTCAAAGTTGTTTATAAACCCTAATTACCCCCACACGCTATGGCCCCAGGCAGCCGCCAAACTTGGCCTCAACGTTCCTGTGTGCAAATTAGGAAACTGAGCCCCATGGTTAAGTTCTTGCCTGGGTCCCAAAGAGGAAATGAGCCTGAAGGGCTGCTCGTGTTCTCAGGAAACTACCCAGCAGAGCAAGAGCTAGAAGCTGAGAGTACTTTGGGCCTCAGTTTACCTATATGAGTGAGGGGACACTCCCTGCTCTACAATTCTTTAATTCTCTGCTGTGGATTTACCCAGCCCGGGGGTTATAACGAGGCAGCACCCAGGCAGGCCGCATTTGGCCCTCAAACGTGTGATGTTTTTTTTTTCTTCTCAGTTTTCTTTCTTTTTTTTTTTTTAATAGAAGATTTTGTAGAAAAATGGAAGTTTGAGGATTCTCTTGAAAGATCAGAAGGCCTGGCAACACTGGACCCACAGGTGTCAGCACCACAGGTGTGAGGCTAGCTGGAGCTGAACGGTGGCTCCCTCCTTTATTTACACGGGGCACACGTGTGCCACCTTGCCACAGATCCCAGCGTTCACCTCTTGTCTCTGACCTAGCTTCCTTCACTCATTCATGAAACCTGCTGAACCTTCTTGGCATTTGAATCAAAGCTCTTGAACTATCTCTTCCCCCTTAGTTACTGTCTCTAGCTGCATTGGCCTTTTCTGGGTTTCTTGTAAAAACCAAACTCTTTTCAGCCACAGGACCCTTGCATATGCTGTTCTGTCAGCCTGGAACACCCTTCCCCAACAACTGTCAGTGGAAGGATCACCTCCTCTGTCTGAATTGGGTTTCCTTTAGTATATCTAGAGTTATCTCACGTGCCACATCACACCTCGTAATTATTCATGGGTGTGCTTACTTGCTAGTCTTCCATCTCCCCTATTAAAATACAAACTCTTGGAGGGCACAAACTTGCTTGGTGTTATTGGTTGCTCTGTCTGCAGCATGCAGCCCAAAACCTGGTGCCCCTTGGGAACTTGGTAAATATTTGTGGCACGGATGTGTGAATGAATGCATGAGTGGGACCCTGCCAGGCCCACTGGATGTCCATTCGATGGAAAGTGGCCAGTCATTGCTATCTTCCTGCAGGGCTGATAAGATGCCGTTTTCCCAGCTTCCTTGTGGCATTCACTCAGGCCCATGTCTGCAGGCACATGTGCTCCCTTTTCCAGAAGTCCTGGGATAAAAGGTGAGTGAGAATGCTTCGGGGTGTTTGCATTCAAACCCAGATACATGTGTCAGGCAAGGACAGATGACTAAAGCCATCAAAGAGACAGCAAGACTACAGAGTACAAAATGAGGTTTCTTCCAGGTGCAGAAAAAGAGGCCTGGCTTGAATTAAATCTATAAAGTCCCAAAGTGGATGCAGAGAGGGAGGGATGATGGACACCCAACCTCAACTATGAGGAAAAGGAGAGTCTCCCTTGAAGTTTAAAAGAGTTTAAGGCAAAGAAAAGCCACCTCCCTCAACCTACTTTATGCAAAGGACCTTGTGATTTCTTCTACCCCAAGACATAGGATGAGCCAAGAATAAAAACGGGTTTAAGAAAGTTTCAGGGGCGCCTGGGGGGCTCAGTCAGTTAAGCATCTGACTTCAGCTCAGGTCATGATCTCAGGGTCCTGGGATCAAGCCCCACGTCAGGCTACCCACTCAGCAGGGAGTCTGCTTGTCCTTCTGCCCCTCCCCCAACTTGTGTTTGCTCTCTCTCTCAAATAAATAAATAAAATCTTAAAAAAAAAAAAACCCACAAGAACTAAACAAACAAAAGAACCCACAAAACTACTGGTAATGCTCCCATAAAAGGAATAGGCTGTCACCAGAGGTAATGAGTTCCCTGTCACTGGAGGAATACAAGTGAGACCTTGGAAGCCATTTTTATGACTCTTGTACATGGGATTCTAGCATCAAGTACTGCTGAGATTTTTCACTTGATGGTTGTGAATAGGAGAGTGCTCAGACCCTCTGACATTGTATGCAAAATTTTTTCTGGATGAGCATCTTCTTTTTCATTATGCAAAATGTTGATAAGTTTTTTAGCTCTCAAAAGGGTTTATGACTCAAAAAAGATTAAAAGTCATTGAGAGGAACTGATGAGGGCACCATTTTCCCAAACTGGCTACACACCAGAATCATCTGAGGAGTTAAAAAAATATGAGACCCTCTCGAACTCCCACTCCAAGTTCACTGCATCAGAATACCGCCCCCAAATTGTGTTTTTTAAAGGGTCTCACTGGGTAATTCTGATTACCTCAACCAAACACTGGTCTGAAGTCTCTAAAAAATAGTAACCAAAGGCCTCGGTGAATTTTAAGCACTTTTGCACCCCCAGAGCTTTAGAGTTCCAAGACAGAGGTCACAGAACAGGGCCCCATGGGCTGCTCTGGCTTATGAGTGTGTTTTTTCAAGAGGAGGGTATTTAAAAATAATAAACAACTTTGATCAGTGGTTAAAAATTGGAATCGTTCACACACACACACAATTCAGACTTCCAACATCTCCTATAAAATGCAACACATTTCTCCTATAAATCCCCTAGAAAAGAACTGACAAAATTAAACCCTAATTCCCAAATCTCAATATTCCGCTGAAGCTTACTGTGTTTGCCACAGTCCCCATCACTCCCTGTTACGTACAGTCAGCTTACTTTGCTCTTGTGAGTTAACTGCCTAGTCCCTGCAGGCACTTTAGTCGGAGACCCCTATTTGAAGCTTCCCCAGAAATTCAACAGCTTGAGAGATTGTTGACTCCAAGGTGTTTCCCAAAATGAGACAGAGGCTGTCTGTTCCTGGCTGAGCTGGGAACTGAGGGGCCATTAGGTCTGCACTTTCCCCAGCCCCCTGCCTCCCACCCTGCTGACATCTAGGAGTTGTCCTTTAACTCTGTCCAGCACTGGGCCAAGGACTTCAAAGCCACATAAGATCCAAACTGAGTTGACACTAATCCTCTTTGGCCTCAGCCTGTTTTCCTGTGCCAGGCAGAAACTTCCCGCCTCTGCTCGCTTCCTATTAAAATTAACAAGCGTTGCAGGCAGGCATCAAAGGCAGGGTTGTGTCTTTAATATTCCAGGCAGGCCCAGGCTGTGATTACAGCCCCTCCCCCATCTTCCTCTCTTCCAACTGAATTGGGGAAAATGGTTCGGCTGAGAGTGCCAGAATCAGAACATTGGCCATCCTTGTCTGTTTGATATTTGCACCAAGGAAAATTCCAGGGCCAGCAGAACATCTTCACAGCAATTTTCTTCAAAGTGCCCTGCAAAAACTGGCCAATTATTTGTAAGAGGCAGCCTTAGAGGGGTGTGTTATTATCCCTATTTTACTGGCAGGGACATGGAGGTCAAATGGCCTGCCCCAGGCCAGTGAGAAAGAGCGAGAGCGAGAGAGAGCGAGATGGATGGAATCAAAGCAGTGGCAGCCTCCTTGTCCATCTGAGGCTCACACAGACCTGTTTCTGGTCCAGAATTCTAGCACAGGCTTTCGTGCCCAGCCAGGCTGTTGTGACCACCCCTCCCGTTCTCACGCTGGACTTCCCAGACCTGAGCTGCAAGAAGACAAGAGGTCAGTAACCCTGCAAGCACTGAGGGGGCGCCCAGCTCTGTCATCAACTCATCTACCACACAGAAAATGACTGTGGTGGCTAATTATTCTCCTCTACAACCCTCAAACTCTTGTCTTTGTTTTTTTCCTCCATAACTTTAATTGGGGATGATCTGATTATCTTCAGAGAACCATGTATATCCTGGAGTAATCCACAAATGGAATAGTGCACTATGGTCCCGAGTTATTAGCGGAACCCGGACAGGGGGGAAGGGGCTGGATGGTTGCAGGCTTGGTCCCTCTCCCCGAGACACCTGTTCAGACAGAAATTCACAGACATCACCACCCCGCCAAGACTGTGGAACTGGAAGAAGCTTTGGGGGTCTGGTGAGCCCACTGTTGGCAGAGCTCACTGCAGGGGCTGCAGGTCCTGATCTGCTGTATTCCCACCCATCTCTTTGGAGGAAAAGCATGGCCAAAAAGTGCCTGCAGACAGTGAACAATTAGTGAAGTTTCTGGAAAAAGTGGCTTTGATCCCAATGCTTTAAATACAAACTGCTTTTCTGGGACTTTGGCTGAGGGGGTCACCCCTCCAGAAATCATAGAGCCAGGCATCTTCCCAACAGCTGTCTCTTTACCAATTCCCAGAACAGAGTGGGGAGGGACCGAATGGTGATCTAGCTATGGACACCTCCTCGGCGTTTTGGGGAAACTGAGGCCCCGGCAGAGAAGTGCACTTGTGGGTGAGTGACACCAGCGAGTGAATTTAGAGGACTCCATTGCCCTGAGTCCCAGGCCGGTCTTCTTGCCTTAGGAGAGAGAAAATACAAGAGAAAAAGTGAGATGTGTGAAGGCAGAGAGGAATGAGAGAAGAGGAGGAGGAGAAAGGACACGAAGGGGAAGGAATGCAGAGTGAGAGAAGACAGGGAGGGGAGAGGCATGCGCAGGACAGACACCCTGCTTTATTTCACCGTGCGGGCACATGGTTCTGTGATGCCCGCCAGTGGTCTTTCTTCTCGGCATTTCGGCTCCCCAGTTATACCATAAAACCTTCTTTGTACCCCTGGGTGAGGCATGTGGCATCATGTGGGGCCCTAAGCGGTTGCTTCATCCGAGCAGGTGGTTCTAGGAATGGCCACACTTGATAGTCCGAATAGGAGGTTTCCAAAGCCCAGGGAGGTTTTTTTCCTCAATGTATCACTTCACCCAGCTGATCAGCACCTGGGAGTGTGGGGGGGTGGATGATAGGCGAGGCACTTCCCCGCTCAGAGCCTCAGGCTCTCTATCTATAAATGGGTTTGAGATGGAGAGGTTGTTTGGACCACATTATTGCCCTTACAGCCCTGGCGTTGTAGAATTATGTTAATTCCAGTTCTTCTGCTTCCCTCTTTCTTCAGGCATTTCTGAGAGGCATTACAGGGCAAATCCAGAACCCCTTACTATAAATACATTTCAATGGGAAGGAAGGGTTTCTAAACAAAGGGGATAAAGCGCAGAAGCCTAAAATGAATTCTGCCGACTTGACCATTCCCCCAGGGGGCTGAGTGACTGCAGAGAAATCAAAGGCTCAGGATGCTCCAGGCTGCCCCTCCACTCCCCACCAGACCCTGAGTGTCCTTCCTGGGGACATACCAGGATGTTCATCTTCTTCATCACCCAAGGTCACTTTGAGCCCTCTGAGTGGGGAAATTATTAAAAACCAGTGACATGGAAAGACAGATGCAGGCTGTGTGGCAGAGAAAGTGATATAAACTGGTCCCAACATCAGATCAGTTAGTGCGATGCCCCACCGAGCTATCGTGGAATGCAGTGTGTTAGCAAGAATACTGGACCATGGAGAGGCGACCCAAATAGCCAAAAATCTTTTTTTTTTTTTAAAGTATTTATTTATTTGACAGATAGAGAGACAGCTAGAGAGGGAACACAAGCAGGGGGAGTGGGAGACAGAGAAGCAGGCTTCCCACCGAGCAGGGAGTCCGATGCGAGGCTCAATCCCAGGACCCCGGGATCATGACCCGAGCCGAAGGCAGACGCCCAACGACTGAGCCACCTAGGTGCCCCTAGCCAAAAATCTTATAATAGTCTGCTCAGCCTCAGTAGCAATTAGCGAAGTGTAAATCAGTAACCAAGGAAATGCCATTTCTTATCTGTCAGACTGATGAAAATTAAGTCTGACAATATCAAGTGTTAACAAGGACAAGGACACTCAGGGAGGACATTGGTCACAGGAGTGTAAACTTTTGGTGAGCAATTTGAGAATATCTAGGAAGGTAGAATAAGCACATGACCTTCCATCCAGCAAGTCTGCTCCCAGCTTTACCCCCAGAGAAACTCTAGCACATGTCACAATCTAGCACATATATGTGGCAATCCATCGCAGCGATGTTCATAATAATGGAAAAGGGGAAACGTCTAAATGCTCATCAACAGGGAAAAGGATCGAACTGTGAAATAGTCTTATAAATAAATCATAAATTTCAAAATACTGGACAAAAAAAGCAAAAAAAAAAGTTGTAAAAGGCTCCATGGAGAATGATGCCATTTTATATGAGGTTTACAAACTTGTAAAACAAGACCATGTAATTTTTATAGGTACATATATATGTAGTAAAAGTAGAAAAGCATGCGTGGGCATGGTAAACACTTGGAGAAATTAGTTCTCGGGTCTGGTGGTGGGGTCGGAACAAGATATGGGAAGTTTATGTGGGAGGTTTCCACTCTCTTTGTTTTGTTCTTTAAGTCATTGAAATGAATAGGACTTAATGTTAATATTTGCTAACACTAAAAAAAAAAAAAATATTTGCTAACACTGGAAGTTTCCATATTTGACTTTCTATTCTTATCTGTTTTTTAGATCATTCAGAATATAAATAATAATCTTAAAAAGAGAGAAAACAAGGACGGTCATTGGGCCAGAGTTCTCATTGAGATTCCAGGTGCAGATTTGCAAGCACCCACCATTCCCTTGGGCAAGTCCACTAGCCTTGAAGGCAAGGCTGGTATAATGGTTTTCCCACTGCTTCTATTGGCAACACCACCCGCACCCCAGATACAATTATTATGTGAGAGGAGGTGGGTGGGATGCACAAGACAAAACAGAGTTTAAAAAGAGCAGCTGCCCCATTTTTTAAAAAAAAGATTTTATTTATTTATTTGAGAGAAAAAGAAAGAGCATAAGCAGAGGGAGAGATACAAGCAGACTCACCACCACCCCCAACCCCCGAGCAAGGAGCCCAAGCAGGGCTCGATCCCAGGACCCTGGGATCATGACCTGAGCCGAAGGCAGACGCTTAACCGACTAAGCCACCCGGCGCCCCTGCCCCATTTAAACAGGGGAAGAGAGGAGGGATGAGACCTAGCATCCCATCTGCAGCAGCCCCTGTGATACACCTCCCTGAACCCCCAGGGCTGTGAACTTGCACAGGGTGAACCCCCCCACATTCCATGAGTTGCTCAGAGCTTACCTAGACTGGGAGAAATGAAGGGCCGAGACCAGAGAAGGCAAGTGAGGCGCCCAGGGCACAAAATCTAAGGAGCTACTGAATGTCAGGGTCATTCAAGCGCTACCCTGCACTTGTGTGCCCTATGTCCTGCTCGCCTTCTCTTTTTCTGACAGCTATTGACATACTTATCGCTCCTGCAAAAGCAAGTTCCTGATGACCAGGCCCTGTGTCTGGCTCACTTACCCCACCCCGAGGGCTAACCTGAAGCCTAGTGCACAGTAGGCCCTGAATGTTTGCTGAATGATTGATGGAAGGGAGGGAGGGAGCGAGGGAGGGAGGGAAGGAAGTAGGAAGAAGAACGAAGGAAAGATGGATGGACAGACGTGAGCCTCTTGCCCCATCTCCAAAGCCCTAATCTGGGCTGCCAGCCAACCCGCGCCAGCCACTTTGCTGCTGGGGGCCATGAGTGTGGGTAATTGTTGGCTTTGGCCTTACTCATCCTTCCTCTAGGGCTGTGTGCAAAGCAGAGGGTTTCACTTGCCCAGTGGGTACTGAATTACAGCCCTGGAGCTGGAGTCCTATGTAATTAACCAGCAGCCGCAAGCTCTGGAGAGTCTGTGAAGTCTGCCGAGCACGCAGGTGATTGAGCATTGAGCAAGGTGGCTCCTAATTAGGCTTGGCCTGATTTTTACGATCCCCAGAGCTGAGACCCACGTCCTCAGAGGCTGGCCACGCACTGGTTGGGGGTTCTTTACCTGGGCTCCGTGAATCGAAGCGGGGGCCAGGAAAACAGAATTCTGTGTGGGTGTATATATTTTGATTGGAGGGAAGAGGCTTTCTTGGAGCTATCCTGAGACAGAACAGCCCCAGACTCCCTGGCAAGTGCAGCTTTCTCAGTCTCTCCGTCTTTCTGTCTCTCTCTTACACACACACAGATACCCACTGTTACCTTAACTGTTGGAACAAATGTCTAGAAACATATATTTAAAGGAAATGTGAAAAAAAAATAAAGGAAATGGGAAGAACCTTAGACTACAGAACCTCTTCCTGATGATAAGACCTTCAGAACGTGGATCACAGAGAAGGAGGCATCTCTTTAGCCCAGCAGGGGAGGAGTAATGCATGGGGAAGGAGGGTGCTGCCCCTGCTCCTCTCAACCAGCCTCCCACCCCAAAGCCCAGCCCGTCAGGGTTTGGGGCTCTGTCACCTCTCTGCATCACGCTTTTTTCCAGGCCAGGCCATGGAACAGATTTGTGACAAAGATATTTGCCCTTTACGTTCTTTACGGCTTCCTACTGCTCCTTTGATTTTTCTATCCTCACATCTCCTGTCCTGCTCCTTCCACTTATTATCATCTCTCTTCTAAAGATGGCAAACTGTTGTTTGGAAAGGTGATATGCCTTGCCAAAGCATCGAGGCCAAACTCCAGGTGTATCTGCCTCCGTATCAAGCTGTCTATAAACATGGCATGCCATCACAAACAAAATCTTAATATCTACCATTCCTTAAGCACTTCTATGTTAAATGCCTGCTCCATGAGTAGACCCAGTGACCCCCATCTTACAGTTGGGGTTCACAGGGATAAGGGAGATGGAAGAGTCAGAATGCTAGCCATGTGCGAAGGACTGCTGCCCATAATATTCACTATGCTCTCTCTTGCTAGAGTGTGAAAGGCTGCTGAGAAGCCCACGATCAGTATGAGAACAACTAGACCATGGCTCACCACCATCTGGAGGTTAATGGCCAAAGAAGCTGGGAGGCAGGGACATGCAAATTACACTGCTGTGAGGTACCATTATACTTCTTCACACTTATCAGATGGGCAAACATTTGAAAGTCTGAATACAGGAAGCACTGGAGGAGGAACTGGGGAAATGGGAACTCTCAGAAATTGCTTGAGGGAGTGTAAATAAGTATAAGATCTTGGGAGAGTGATTGCCCCCCTACCACCTAGCCATCCTTTAGGGATGAGTGAGTTTTATATACTGATGTACATGACATGAATGGGGACCTTCCCTGCAGTATTTTTATAATAAAGAAAACATGGTCCAAGGGTCTAGGGCAGGGGAAGGGAAGATGTAAGGGGCCCAGGTAGGAAATGAGCTGAATCTTTCCAGGGGGTGATGATGGCCCAAACCGGGTAGCAGGGGTGGAGGTAGACGAGACCCAGGGGGGATCTGATTGGAAGTGAGATGAGGAGCAGCAGCTCAGTTGGGGACGGGGTTTGAAATGCTGTTCAACATCCACATGGAGATATGTTGAGTAGCAGCCAGAAATATGGGGCTGGAGTTCAAAAGAAAGGCCATGGCTGGAGATATAAATTGGGAGTCACCAGCACATAGACAGTGTTTAATGCCATAGGCCTGTTAATTTTTTATTTCTTATAAATAAAAGAGCTGAAGCAAATATGACCATGTTGACATCTGTTAATTCTGGGTGGTAGATACGATGGTGGTTATGATACTCTTCTTTATACTTTTTAGTAGGTTTGAACTTTTTAATAATAAAGGTAATTAATAAATAGTTTATAAGGCCACAAGGCTCCAAATAACTGACCAGTTCTGTGAGGAGTGCCTCGGACCTAAATCGTGGGTACTAGTAACAAATTGAGGAGTCAAATTCAAGTCCTCCCTGCCACGAACCTAAGCTCAATGACCGGGGGTTGACCCTGTTTCCCTATTTGAACAAAAAAAGCTGGCCCACAATTTCTCAGGATTCTTTCAGGGCTAACCATCCAGGATTCAAGCTGGTGCCCCATGGGGTCCCTGTGAGCCCAGATGGTATCCACCCACCTCTCATGCCTAGTCCTGCAGATGAGGCCAGAAATACCCCATAAGGGGGCTCTATAGGTGGAAGGTCATCTCTGCGTCCAAATAGATGAAAACTGTATCAAGGGGAGTCAGAAAGGACAGGGCCCCACAGTCCCCAGGCCCTCGGGAACCCAAAAGAAATTAGGCTGAGATTAAAGGCAGAGAACTTTAGTGACAGAGCAGTGACTTTTAGTGACAATATTTGAAAAGTGGTTTTTTTTTTTAAGATTTTGTTTATTTATTTATTTTTGAGAGAGAGCACAAGCAGGGGTGGGCAAGAGCAAAGAGAGAGAAGGAGAGAATCCTCAAACAGACTCCCTGCTGAGCACGGAGCCTGACATGGGGCTCGATCTCACAACCCTGAGATCATGACCTGAGCCGAAACCAGGAGTCAGATGCTTAACTGACTGAGCCACCCAGGCGGCCCACCGTATTTGCAAAGTCTGAATGCATCCTCCTCAGGACCCCAGGACAGGCTGAAGAATAGTCCATGGCCCTGAAACATACAAATGGGTGAGTGGCTGAACCAGTCTGCCAGGTTGTTAACAGGCGCAGGAAATGATAATAATACTATTGCTAATAAGTGCGTATTACTATGCATTCTCCTGCTTAACCCTCACAAGGACAGTGCCGTACGTAGGGTTATCATTTTCATGAGCCAGACGAGAATTCAGTGCAGGCTCAGAGCGATCAAGCAACTTGCCCCATGTCTTGCAGCAGAGAAGAAACAGAGCCTGGCTGCAGGACTCCGGATCTCAAGCTCTTGACGGCTCTTGCTGAGCAACAGGTTCCTCTCATCTCCTCTACAAGAGCCAGAGAAGACAGCCTAGATGTAAGTCTGTAAACTGAGCCGTTTATTCATCGTCAGCCCATAACTATTTACTGGGCGCTCACTGTGTGGCAGCACTCAGTGAGTCTGGCCACAGGGATGCTGAAATTAATGAGCTCAGCCTTTGTTCTTGCGAAGCGTGTTGTCTAGAGAGAGAGGTCAGTATCTAAACCAGCATAATAAAACCAATGGCTCCAGGCTGCTCCTGGGGTCGGTGGGGGGCACGTATGTCCAGAGAGTCCTGGGTGGGAAAAGATGGTGATTCCCAGGTGCAAAACATGGACCAGGGTGTGTGTGGAGTCATGGCACAGGGCTTTTCTCTGACCTCATCGCCTGGCCGAACCTCCATTCCTGAGCCATGAGTCCCAGAAACTTTCTTACAAAAACACGCTGGGCTCAGGAACGTGTATTTAGCTTTTACCTTGTTGGGAGTGGGGGAGACTACAGAAACCCTGTCATTTCATATGTTGTAAGCCAGGGGTATTGGCTGCTTCTTTGGAGCAACCCGTTTTATTGTTCTGAAAAGAACACTTGACATATGCACAAAAGTCAAAAGAGGCCATACCTGGACAAGGCCATACCTGGCTCAAAGGAGCTCCAGCTACTGTGGGATAAGGAGAGAGCTGCTACAGGCCGGACTGCTTTTCTGCAGGGAAGTTCTTACTTTGGGAGCCCTTGGGTATGGCGCCTGGGTGGGAGGTGGGTTCACCAGTGAGATTTAAGAGATGCACAAAACCTCTGAACTTGTGGGGGAAATGTATTTTGTGCTTTTTTTTTTTCTGGGTAGAGGATCGAGAGCTTTCATCAGATTTTCCTAGGGCTCCTTGAATACCCCAAGAAAGCGAAGAATCACATCTTTGACAATTAATTAATACTTCCTTGAAATATTAATTTTCTTCTTTTTTTTTTTGATTTTATGTATTTGTTTGAGAGATGGGGGAGGGAGTAGCAGAGGAAAAGAAAGAAGCAGACTCCCTGCTGAGCAGGGAGCCCAGAAGTTCTAGGGAGGACAAAGGCATTCAGCGCTATGGGTATCAGCAAGGCACAGGGAGGATAGGTAGGGGCAATCTTGTATTGTATGCAGGACTCGATCCCATGACCTGAGCGGAAGGCAGATGCTTAACTGACTGAGCCACTCAGGTGACCCTGAAATACTAATTTTCTAAGTGCACGTTTAAGCTACACCTGCAGCAATTGCACGTTCTTGGGGTGGTGTGTGTATTTTTGGTTCTATGATCCATGCAAAGATCTGGAGCTGAGACCCAGAAGACAGGCAAAAGGGCAAAAGGGACCTGTGGGTGTGCTTCCCCAGGCACTGGAAGAAGGACTGTGTAACAGGGACAGGATAGCCTGGGGCAGAGTTCAACATGATCTTGACTGCCCGATGCTACACGGGGTCGTTTCAATCTGCGCAGCCCAGAACCTGGGAAATAGCTTCATGCTACCTACGGGGTTGAATTTTGAGATTTTCATTCCGCTGGGGCCTTAAGCAACATCACAGTGTCAATCATCTGAGGACGAAGCCATTCCTGGCTCAGAGAGGAAGGAGGGAAGAGAGTTGGTTTGGATGAAGGTGAAGGAAAATCCCTTCCTTGCTCTGGGCTCATGCGTTGGGCTAGATCTTCTAAGGCATTGATGTCTGCTGCAGGACACACACAGAAGAGGTGGGGGGAGGCTGGTCCTGCCAAGATGTGGGCCGGAACTGGGCTGGGAATGCGGGCCCAGGAGGACGAAACCAGCCTCTGAACTCTGAGAGCAGCCCTGCCCAGGCAGAGATTTCCTGGGATGTCCTCCTGACCTTCTCAACTATAAGCTCTGGTGTTACTCACCCTTCGCTCCCCAGTACCCAGCACAGTACTGGCCCTTAGAAGGAGGTGAATGAATGGAATGTGCCTCGATCCCCTAGAAGGCTGTGAACTCCTTGCAGGCAGGGCCTATTTATGGATCAATACAAGATTGCCCCTACCTATCCTCCCTGTGCTTTGCTGATGCCCATAGGGCTGAATGCCTTTGTCCTCCCTAGAACTTCTCAGCTCAAACCCATGCTTCCAGCAGTCCTTCTGGATAAGTGATAGAGACCCCAGCAATTTACTAATGGAAGGAGCTATCACCATTGGTTCTGGCCATGCCCCATCTCTTTTGCCTTTCGGCACAGTGACAGTATTTTTCAGTAGAGGTCCTCAGTACCCACATGCAGGAGCCTTGTGCATTTATTTGTCCATTTATCACTCACTCACTCGTTCATTTGTTCACTCCCATGCACACTTACGTGCTCACTCATGTCTTCAGTCATCTGACTATTCATCTCATTCATTCATTCATCTCCTAAACTTGCAGACCACTGCAGAATCGAGATGCTTCAGACAACAGGTCTTGCCTCTTAGAGCTCCGAGATTGGGGCACGGAGCACAAGAGCCATGAACACACACAGTGGAGTAAAAAGTAGTAAACTGCATGAGAGATATACAAACAGGCCACTGAGGGGTCACAGAAGGAAAGGTTTCTTCCAGTCAAGAAAGGGCGAATCAGAGACAGCTTCCTGGAGCAAGGCTCAGCAGCAGCAGCTCCAGAATTTCTACATGGGGAGCGGGTAAGGGTGGCAGCTTTTGGAGGCAGCTTGAAGCTGCGTCATCAGGAGGGTATGTTCCGTAAGACTGAATATCTGTCAGCTGCCTGATCATGATGAGATTGGGGGGCTTCATTCTCCCCCAGCGCCCCCCCACCTTGCTTCTCCCACCCAAGAAATGGCATTTGACTCATGCCTCAGTAAATGAGGAGCATTTATCTGGACTCAAGGTGGTAGGGAAAGGATGAACACCTGACAGGAGCAAAAGCCTGGATGTGGAAAAGCTCAAGGCCAAGTACAGGGAGCCTGGAGTCCTTAGGTTTTGGTGGAACAGGTAGAAGGAAGGAGTGGACAGTGACCTTGGAAAGGTAAGTTGAGCTTGGAATGCAAGACTAAGGTGTTTGGGCTTCATTCAGCAGATTGTGGGAGCCACTGAAGGTTTTGAGCAAGAAAATAACATGGCCAATGCTATTTGGGGGCTCGATCTCTGGGGCAAGGTGGAGAATGAAAAGGAGCAGGCAAGACCACAAGAGGCTGGTTCCAGGCCCCTCCTAATGTTGGGGGTGGGTGGCAGAGCAAGAGTGTAAATGAAGGTTCACATGTCCCTGCAAATATCTAAAAGTTATAAATCAAATGAACATATAAAATACTTTCTATCCCCCTACCCTGACAAAGAGAGCTTCATAGCAACCTGAAGGGCCAGGTTCAATGTTTAATTCTCAAATCTTCACACCAGCAGGTGCTGAGAGATCTGCCCCATGTCCCCAACCTCCAGTCTGGGGCCCACATCCAGTCTTTTTCCATCCCTTCCTCCTTCCCTCACTGTGAGAGGCCTCACGCACGCCTGTGGGCACCAAGCCCACACATCCAAACTGTTCATACCCCCAGCACACAGCTACCTCCAGCCACGCTTCAGCCCTAGAGGGACACACATTGGCTGAGCATCTACCCTTCGGAGCCTGGGGCAGAGGTCTGAGCAAACCTTTGGAAGCAGGCTGGCTTGGAATGAGAGAAAATTCCAGAAGCCAGAGCATTACATGTGTGTGGTCTAGAAGGAGAGGTTGCACACTGCCCCTGATTTTTGTCCTTCTCACCCAGGGAGTCTGGGGGACATGCCAAGAGAAGGCCTGAGTAGGATGTTCTAAAGCCCAAGACCCCAGATAGGGGCCCCCTTCTGCCCATGGTAAGGGCTTTCATGACCAGGGGAAACAGAATGAGGCCCTGAGCCAGGCCCTGTGAAGGAGGGAGCAGAAATGGCAGATTGCAGAGGACTTGGAGACCGGACAGGTATGGCTGCCAATCTGAGCACTTTGAGTGCCACTGAAGCCTGAGCCTGGCTCCTTGACACCTTGACACGTGGGTAGATGGGTGGGTTCAGCCATCTGCACCCCTTGTGAGAAGCATCCAAATGACTGTACTGCTCTCCCTCTCCTCTGCCCTCCCTCTGCCCACTCTCTCCAACCCCCAGCCTGCGGCGTCTGGCTGGGCCGTGTGCAGGGCGTCTGGCCCCGGGGACAGGTGGGGTACGCCCAAGTGCACACCTACACAGCTATAAATAGGGAGCCTCCGGCAGCTGCTCACTCAGCTTCTCTTCCCCAGCTGTGATAGTGCTGGAGCCTCTGGGACGCCTGGACCATGGACCCCGGGGAATGCACCTGCATGTCTGGTGAGTAAGGATGCCCACTCGGGGGTCCTGGAACCTTGCCCCAGCTTCCGATATGGAGCCCACAGGGCTCTGATGAATATTTCTCTTCCTCCAATTAGGAGCTGCCAAGGGGGTTTGTCTCGGACCGGCGACCTCTGGGGCAGCGCCCACTCTGTTGCCTACCAGCCTGATTTGCTAGAATTGAGACCCTGGCTCAGGGGGCGCTTAGTGTCAGGCCCCTAGGGGCAGCCACCAGAGCTAAGGACCTGGCAATCTGGTTTGGGTCCCCTGCTGCCATTCACTCCTGACACTTCATATTTCTGAACCTCCATACCCTCCTCTGAAAACTAGGGTCACTCCTCCTCAACTGCCCACCTCCCAGGGCTGGCTAAGAAAGTACTAAAATCATAAGGCACTTGCAGAGGTCAAGGGAGTCGTTAGAAGTGTATGTGGGCTCCAGAGTCTCTGAAACCCCTTAATTCCATGGAAGCACATAACGCAGGAGGAGAGAGGTCAGAGTTTGGAGGCATCTTGGGCTTTTATGGCCTTTGGAAATGGTATCAAGAATTCTCATAAGCCTCTCTGGTCCTTAGCAGGACATGTCTATACCCCAAACTTGCCAAAGAGACAGAAACTTCCAGCATTTTGACACTCAAAATTTGACACTTCAAATGATAGGTGGGATGATTTTTTTTTTTTTTAAGTGTAGATGGTTTTTATATGAAAACAAGCTGCAGCTACAGCTCTCATTTTGGGGTTATTTATGTCCCCGGTTCTTTCTCCTGCCCATTCAGGGTTTCCATCTTGCCTGATACCTTGAAAAGGTGAAGAGGGTATACAAGGCTTCCACAGTCTCTAGGGGACCTTGGGCTTGGTAGACCTGGCCTGGTCTTAGTGGTTCTCAAACCCAATCGTACATCAGAATCATCTGGGTTACTTTTTAAAATAGGATTCCCTTAAAAAAAAAAAAGAAAAGAAAAATATGATTCCCTTTCCCCACCCAGACTTATGAATCAGAATATCTCAAGGGTCGGTCCCATGAATCTGCATTTTAGCAAGTATCCCGGCTGAGGGGCCCAATGCAGCCACCCCAGTTTCCATCCGGGGACTGTGACTGGGAACCATCCAAGGGCCCATGCCCCGGGGCGGGGGGAGGGGGGGATGCTCGGCAGCATCTTCATCCTCTTGTCCAGCCACTCCCCAAGGACAGCCCAGAAACCCTGCCACCTCGTGTCCCCGTTTGACCCCAGTCCTCACGCTTGGGGCTCTGTCCTCTCTTCTAGGAGGAATCTGCATCTGCGGAGACAACTGCAAATGTACAACTTGCAACTGTAAAACATGCCGGAAAAGTGAGTTATGCTGAGCGGGGATGTGGCTGGCCAGAAGCTAGGAAAGTCTGTTCCCTCCCTTCCCAACCCGCCAGCCATGGTGGGATGAAGCGGGTTCTGGAGGCCTCGGACCCATTTGAGAGGGATCTGAGATGACAGCTGAGCCGAGGCCTCGGGCAAAGCTCCTGAGGCGGGCAGCCTCACCTGGGGATGAGGGCGTCCACTGGGTTGCCGGTGTTCGCGGAGGAAGAGGGCTGCAGGGAGGTCCTGCTATGCCCAGTGCCGAAAGGGAGGGAGCACTGACCTAGAGTCATGAGCTCTGGGTTTTAGTTTCAGATCTGCCACTGACCAGTGACCTTGAGCCAGCCTCTTCCCCTCGCTGGGGCAGCTGGTAGACCTGATGACCCCTGAGATCCCTCCTGGCACTAGCATCCCACAGCTTGCTGCCCCGGGGTTTTCTGCTAATGTGGATTGAAGCCTGTGGCCTGCTCTGCCCTTCCTGCTTTCTCTAAGTGGTGGGAGAGGATGTGGTAAGAGGGGAGCGTTGACACCCAAACTGACCTGTCCATCTCCTGACCCTTCCAGGCTGCTGTCCTTGCTGCCCCCCGGGCTGCGCCAAGTGTGCCCGGGGCTGCATCTGCAAAGGGGGCTCGGACAAGTGCAGCTGCTGCCCCTGAAACACATCCGTTGTGCTGAGGGCCAAGGCCCGGCAGGCGTCTGTACAGTGCCTTAGTCGAGAAGTTGGAATTATTGTACAATAGGTTATGCTTTTTATATATTTGCTCAGATGCAGTGTGGGTGACCTTCATGGAAAGGGCTTGAAAAATAAAGGTTTCGCTCATGGTTGTCTGGTGGCTCAGAGCACTGTTTTGCCCTAACCCAGCAGGACCGAGAAGGGCTGACACCATTGCATACAGTAAGCGTCAGCCTGCGCCCCTTCTGCAGGTGGCTGCTCACCCCAGGACCCAGCAACTCTGCCTCAGGGGGCTTCCTCCGGCTGCAGGAGCTTGCTTGAGGCATGCACAGAGCAGCCCAGGAGTACTGGGCAGTCAACACCCCTGGGGACAGCCCTTAGCTGACAACAAACAGGAGTCGGTGGATAAATACCCCCCAGCATCTCTACCCTTACGGTGGGACGAATCTGAGACAGGTTCCACATCATGCCCCAGAAGTCCCTGGCAGCGCAGGGCTCCAGTAGCCCACAGCGGTACCCCGCTCACTAACATACCCCATATTGGCTCCCTTCCTTCCCTGCCTCACTTGTCCGTTTTCCTCCCAGTGCTTCCTGGGATCCCCAGCCAACGAAACCTCTTGAACAGGGTCTGCTTCGGGACTCACTGAATCCCACGTATGACACGCTGCCTCACACACACACACACGTGTGCACACACACATGGCAGTGTGCTGTATACCTGGGGAAACTGTGTTTTCCCTTATACAGTTAACTCTCTGCCAAGTCCTTTTTTCCACTTAAGAGAGAAGAGTAAGTAGAGGAAAAAATAGGAAGATTGAACCACAAAAAAAATACGGTGACAAAACAAGAATTAGTGGATGAAACACAGTAGGAGACAAAGAGGAAACTCTACCCGAGTCTCTCCCACAGCAGAGTCGCCGCTGAGCCTAGCACCTGCCAGGGACCGTGCAGAGCAGGGACCATAAACATCTATGAGAAGCACTGACGACAATGAGCCTTCCTCTTCCTAAAAATGCCCATATAAATACCTTCACTCAATTTTACATGTGATCTTAGGGAACTCCCGAACCCACTGAGCCATCTCTGGATCCCCCACAAGATCTGAGTTAGGAATCTATGGTCCATGCATGCTGTTATTTAAAAGAATAAAGTGGTCTAATAATAGATTAAAATATGAAGCACCTACTACCTGCCAGGCACTGGGCCCCACATCTCCCCTGCATTATTTTCATTTTAATCGTCACAACAAGACCTCACGAGGTCATTACTGTTAATCAACTCCGTCTTCCCCAGAGGGGGAAACCAAGGCTCACAGAGGTTATGTGACTCGCCCAAGGCCACACAGCTAGTTTATAGAATTGAGATTCGAATCCAGATTTACAGACTCCAAAGCTGTGCAACTGAGAGCAAGTGGAGATGCAGAAACAACCTTGTAGAAGGACCGAGGTGAAGGCTGCAGTCCCTGGAGGCTGGCGCTTCGGAGGGGGAGACTCGGTCCCCTCTCACCCACACCACCCCACCCCCAGCAGAGTGTGGATAACCCGAGCTCTGGGATGGCGTTTATGCTGCCAAGGGCCTGAAAGCAGGGCCCAGCGGAGGCTGGGAGCGGCTGTCAACTCCACCAGCCTATGTCCAGGTGGCCATCAGAGAGCAGTAGTCTTTTTGTTTTTCCTTGCATTTCGAATTGCCTTTCCCCCCTTGCTATTTGTGGAACAATCGAATATGTACTGGCTTCTTTCCTTATTTTCTGTACAACTGTCATTCTGGGATCTCTTTTCATTGTTTTTTTTTTTTAAAGATTTTATTTATTTATTCATGAGAGACAGAGAAAGAGAGAGAGGCAGAGGGAGAAGCAGGCTCCCAAGGAGCAGGGAGCCCGATGCGGGACTCGATCCCAGGACGCTGAGATCATGACCTGAGCCGAAGGCAGACGCTTAACCATCTGAGCCACCCAGGCGCCCTTCATTGTTCTCCTAGGCTAGACCCATTGGTCCTTGGGTCCCCCATCATCCTCTATCTCGGGCTCCTTTCTATTTTGCTGAAGTACCTCCTCAAGCAATTTTTGTTGTTGTTGTTACCAAAAGAATGGATTCCCTAAATGTCAGAAAACACCTTTATTTTTCTCTCATGCCTGTTTGAGAGTCTGGCTGGATATCAAATTTTAAGTTCAATATAATTTTTTCTTAGCACTTTTGAAGACAGCGCTGCATTATCTTCCAACGTTTGGCGTTGCTGCTAGGAACACCAACATGACCTGCCCTTTATTTTTCACTGGGCGCTTTTGAGAAATTTCTCAGGCTTTTTGCAATCTTATTGATCTTTTAAATTTTGGTCAATCATATTTTAATACATTAAGAGCTTCTTCTCTGAACATTTATCATAATACCTTATTTGTTTAAGTCCTTTCCTGAATCTCTCCGATGTGTGGGAAGTTTTTTTAAATGTTTGTTAAGTTTCCTCTTTCTTGAACTATTTCTGCTTCTCTGAGCTGCAAGCAGGCTCTGTGGGTGTCAGTGAGGTTTGCTGACTGGCAGGCTTGGTTTTAGCACGCCCAGGTGGGGAGCCAGCAGGCAGGTGTGCCCCCCCCCTCAGTGCCAAAACCAAAAGGGCCCTCCTCTGACCCTTTTCCGCGAGCCCTAGCCCCTCCTAGACTGGTTACTCCATTTCTTCAGAGACATCTCGCAGCCTCAGCCTGCGGGCAACTGGCAGGGTTGTACAAGGAGGGGAAAAGGAGGCCAACCTGATGATCACGTGGTAGGCTACAGCCACTTCTTCCATCAGTCCCCATCCTGGTTTCTGTGACCACTTCCTCTGCCGCTATCCCAGTCTGACTCCCCCAACCCCCTCAAAACCAAGTAACACAGAACCCCCATAGACTTCTCTACTTTTTGATCTGAGCTGTGGCTTCCTCTCCGCCCATTTACTCATCAATGTGATTTAACCGATTCCAGTATTCCAGAAAAATCTTGTAACCTCTGATCCACTGATGTGCTGTCCAAGTCATCCTCCCCCGCACCAATTCTCAGCTCTTTTATTAGTTTGTCTTTTTTTAGTTTCTTTCAATGGAGTCTCAGGAGAAAGGAGAGGTAAATGCATGTATTCCGTCTCCCATCTTGAGCCCCAAATTCCAGGCTAGGCTTCTTAGTCAGATTATGATGTCCATTCTACAGGCGAGAAAACTGAGACTCGGAGAAGTTAAGGCTTTCTCCCCAAACTCAGGCAGGACTAGGTGAGAGACAGACGCTTGAAGACTGCGGGGTAAGACAAGTTGGGGAAAAGGCCGAAGCCAAGAGTGAGCAGACTAGTTACAGGCGGCCATGAGGGGTGAAACTTGAGCAGTGCAAGGAAACACCGAGAAAACAGAATTTTACATCAAGAAAAAAAGAGCTTTCTCAAGGAAGAGGTGCTCGGAGCAGGAAGGGGCTCTACCAGGAGGCTGACACATCACGGATTGTGTTCTTGTGCTGCCTAAAGGACAATGAGAGGCTGTGACAGTCTGCACCTGCTCAGGACATCCTCCCACTTGGATGGAAACCAGAGGAAGATGATGGGGAATGAAACGCAGGGCACAGGACGAGGAAGGAAGTTCCTCATGAGGACTGCAGGGGGCGCTCGAGGTCCAGAGGCAGGTGCGGAGGCGTTCACTCTGAGCCGGGCGCCAGAGTTGAGGTCGCTCTTCCCGCCTCAGTCTGGCGGCGTCTGGGGCCCAAGAGATCCCCAGAAAGGGCTTGGAACCTCAGACGAGGCTGCAGGGAAGACAAATCAGGCCAAACTCTCCAAGGGCCGGTTAGGTGTAAAAAGCCCTTAACAATGTGTAAAGCACCCAGATTCACAGGACATGAGGCTTTTAAAATAATTTGGCAACGTGGGTCCAAGAACCATGAAATCCTTCTTATTTGTCCCAGTAGCTTCACTTCTAGAAAGCTGTCTAAAGAATTCGTCACAAATTCAGGGGAAAATAAAAAAAGCCTCACTCCCACGAAAACATTCATTGCGGTACCATCTACAATTGTGAAAAACTGGAAAGGGCCTCAAGTCTATGAGATCGTTCGAGTACGCTGTGGCGGCACTCACAACAGGATATGCCACTAAAAATGCAAAAACGCAGGAAATAATTATGGCAAAATCTGCTACAAATTAGGTGTGCAGTCATTTATTTTAAAAAAGAAGCTACGCAGAATACAAACTATGGAAATGAAAATACGCTACAGTGTTAACAGTGGTTGTGTTCAAATCACAGATAGAAGATAATTTTTACTTTTCCTTCTTTTTTCTTTGTGTCTTTCTGGATTTTCCAAATTTTACTGAAGTAGCACATTTTTTAAAAATAAATACTGTTTGACAAGGGGGGGAAATGTATCCTTTGAGCAAGAAATTCTACTGTAGGGAATGTTGTATCCTCAGGAAAAAATCATGAATATACACACACAAAAGCTACCAAGATGTTTGCCACATCACGGGTTATAACAGTGAAGATTTGGAAACGACAAAAGTGTGTCTATGTAGGAGACCATTAAATAAATTGTGTAATGAACCTACTAAAATAAAATTGTAAAGTGAAATTGATTTCATGGGCAGATGTTCATAATCTGATAAGCAAGGAAAAAGTCATTTATAAATCAGTGTATACCGTAGGCTTCTGTTTTTATATTTGAAAGAATTATATAGATTTTTTAATTTTTCAAAATTTCTGCAATAAACAAAGAAGGAAGAAGAGGAAGAGGGAAGGTAGACCCAGATGTTTTTGAATCTGAGGTACAGGTGGCCTGAATTGTACAATTTATTTTTAATTTATTATTATTTTTTTTGACAGAGAGAGACACAGCGAGAGAGGGAACACAAGCAGGGGGAGTGGAGGAGGGAGAAGCAGGCTTCCTGCGGAGCAGGGAGCCCAATACGGGGCTCGATCCCAGGACCCTGGGATCATGACCTGAGCCGACGGCAGACGCTTAACGACTGAGCCACCAAGGCACCCCAGTATGAATTATTTTTAGAGGTAAGGATAGGACAGGGTACTTGAAACTGAAACAGTCTTGGAAAGTTTGGGCCACGTGACCACAATACACGTTGGCTCAATGGAGGCTTCCTTCCCTCTCCATGCCCAGCCTTACCATCCACCTTCCCTGGCAAGTGCTCTCACTTACTTTCTCAT